TAAGGACTTGTGTCGCTAAAGTTTCGTCGGAACGAAGTTACGGAAAAACAATTAAGAAACGGAGACGTAACAATATGTATTGTTGTTGTTGGGTGTTTAGCACAAAGCCGCATAATGGGTTATTTGTGCTCTGTCCACTGCAGGGTACCAAACTTTGGATTTTGGGCGTTGCAAGTCCGCTGATCTGCCGGGGGAGAGATCATGTTTATCATGGTTCGTACAACTTTTCTTTTCATTCATGAATATTAAACCATCAAAATAATTTATTTACTACCTTTTCATTACATGTACTTGAGACATTAAAACAACGACACACTTTTATTATCTTCCCATCCTTTACAGCATTATTGAAGTGTTATCAAGTTCTTTTCTGTTTAAAAAGAAAATGTAAAAAATTGGAAAAGAATTAACTTAAATGTCAAGCACGGTATCATTAAAACAGACTGCAAACAAAACGATTTTATTGAAAAAAACTGTAAATAATTCCTCATACTTTTTAAGACGCATCACTTGATATTGTTTACATATAAAGTTTACAACAAAAAAAAGTGCACATCCAATTAAGTGGCAAAAACTCCATACCATATTAAAAAAAACTTTCCATTAGTGGACACAAAAAAGCTAACACTGACACAAAAGAAAAAAGCTTCAGGTGTATATTTTATTCACAAAAGAATAGGAGAAGTTGGAAAATATGCATTCATCACAATGTCACAAGTGATTTGAGCTCAAAGTTTATGCAAAAATACTATATAATGAAATAGGACTACATATGGAAATTTCCAAGACTGAATAAATAAACACTATGTCAAGTTTTACTGGTTCAAGTAAAGCCCAAAGTCAGTTTGTTGTTACAATAATGAAAACAAAATCAGAGTAAAACCATGTTCTTGTCATCATAGAATTTTTTTTTTACAAATCCTTTTATTTTGCAACAATGATAAAAAAAAAACTGTTTTTAAACAATGTTACAATTCATCTAGTAACACGGGTCTACTAATAACCATGGTTTGTATTTTGCAACAATGATAAAAAAAACTGTTTTTAAACAATGTTACAATTCATCTAGTAACACGGTCTACTAATAACCATGGTTTGTATTTTGCAACAATGATAAAAAAAAACTGTTTTTAAACAATGTTACAATTCATCTAGTAACACGGGTCTACTAATAACCACGGTTTGAATTATTTTGCTAAATGTTTCTTTCCTCTAATTGAACTTGAATAAAAATGCATGAAGATAATTTTATGAAGCAGAAGTTGCTCAATAACACAACACTGATACTCTTACAAGAACTGAATTGCTCTATTATTACTACAGAATCTACTAAAAGGAAAATGTAATTAATGACATGATGCTAATGGAATGTTACAAAATAATGAGGAGTGAAATAATTTATTCGACAAGAGTATCCATTTGCTGAAGAGCTTCTGGTTTTATGACCACTTGTCAAGCCATGATTCTGAGAGTAACATTTATCATCACCTAATCTAAGTCAGCTTATCTCCAGTAAATGAGGCTGCTATTGCAATGCCCTGAAATTATATAATGCTCGATGAAAAGGTACGGCTTTAATTATGCACGTTTTTTAATTTTTAAACAGTGATGAATAAAATAGAGTTCGTGTAATTTAGAAAATCGGTTACGTTTAAAAAAGTAACGGAGCAATGAAAAACTGTGATGAAGGAATGCAATTAATTCTGAAACTCAGGATTAAGTATAAAACTTTAACTTATTAAACTGTCACATCATCTCGAATATACCAAACCAAGCAAACAATACAGAATTACGTAAGTAACAGCTGACTTTATTGAAGGGGCAGTTACCCTCAACAAAACAAAACAATAAGTTGCAAAACAAAGTACATAAAAAAGTATTTTTATTAACTCTTGCATTTTTAACAGGTCTAAAGAAATTTACTGAGCATGGGGAAGCCAGGTTATAGAGAAGGTCAAACTAAGTTCAGAGAAACTCCAGAATTTTTAGATGGGCTATGTGCATGGGTAAGCTAGGCTACAAAGAGAATCAAACTAACTTCAGAGTAACCCTAAAATTGTTTTTTTTTACACGGGCTATATGCAAGGTAAGCCATGCTATAGGGAGGATAACATAAGTTCAAGGTAACCTTAGAGTTTTTTACATGGGTTATGTGCATGAACAAGACACAGGAGCAGATAAGGGGAGGGAGGCGAAGTCGGCCAGTGATTTGACTATTGGACTGACTCTAGTCTCTTGAGGAGGGGGTTTCAAGACTTAATTAAAATTAACTAACAAATGTATATAGAGCTTAAAAATCAGAACTTCATAATAAAGTAACTAACAATTTTATTCTCAATTTATATTAACAGCCTGGAGAGCCAGCCCTCAGTTAAAACTGTCAAACAAGTCCTGAGTTTGCACTGACAGCTGTTATGGTTGTGCGCCCCTGGTAAATCAGGTTACAGAGAGAGTCAAACTAAGTTCAAAGTAACCTTAGAGAATTTTATATGGGTTATGAACATGGGTAAGCTAGGTTACAGAAAGATCAAACTAAGGCCAGAGTAACCATAGAGTATTTTACATGGTAAATATAGTATTGTCCTACTTTTTTTTTAAACCACTTTACATGTTGCTTGATCAAGAAGCTTTGTATGACAGAAAAACGACTGTAAGTACACATACAGCAACTGATTGCTATTGCTATGATTACAAATATAATGGGACGTCACACAGAATACTGCGTATTTTACAAATATTGATATGTAAGTAGCTTGCACAAGTCGCATTATACGTCAACTTAAAGATTGCAGTGACAAGTCCACTGGACAAAGTATAATTCAGTATACTGTTCTTTTGCCTGCATAAAAAACGTTCCTAATATACATTAAAAAATTTCATTCACAAATCAAAGAACATAATGATATGAAAATTACTTCCAAGTATTTTAGTATCAATAGAAAAAATTTAGACCAACAATAATGCTCTTGAATTTACAGTAAAAATTATCTTGAAGTTAGTATATAAGCAAACATCACATGTTCATCATCAAAAGATATCTCTGCTTCATTATTATCAAAACATTCCAAACTACTGTAAACTATACATATTATATCCAGGGTAGCTCAGATTTAAGGTGAAAATTCATTGTAAAACTATACATATTATCCAGGGTAGCTCAGATTTAAGGTGAAAATTCACTGTAAAACTATACATATTATCCAGGGTAGCTCAGATTTAAGGTG